ACACTGGCAGGCATGCGGGGCCACAGAGCTGCATCCCTTGCTTCGCTGTCCCCCCCCAGCCCTCGCGCCAGGGCTTTCCTGCCTGTGCAAGCCACATTTCGGTGGGCACCTTCCTACAACTTGCATCGCTGCCTCCTGTTAGACGGTTTGTTTCTCCTCCGGACAACGTCAGGTAACAGAATCCAGGTGGCTGGTCACGCCGACACCATTCCCCTCAGTTCCTCCCCCATGGCGCACCCCACCCTTTATGACGCCTCCAGCCTTTGCGCTCTGTTGACGCTGCACGTCCCTGCTGTGACAGTGTTAGTGGCCAGTGTCCTCTTGGTGTCCTTTGACAGGAAAGAATCACCACTGCCAGGCTATACCTCTGTTCAACCAGCTGTGGATTGAGCCGCACAGGACGTAGTCAGAGGGAGGCACCAGTTTGTAGCCAAATGACGCTAAGATTGGCTAAGACTGACCAAATATCACAATAGAAAATCTCATTTATGGAAGTGTAGGTGTGACTATGTATAGGACAAAATACAAGAACAGCTGACCATGAAGAGCGGAAAATCAGAAAAACAACTGCTTTTTTTTTTTTTTTTTTTTTGCATTTTAGGTTTTGGGGCACATGTGAAGAACATGCAAGATTGTTGCATAGGTACACACATGGCAGTGTGATTTGCTGCCTTCCTCCCCTTCACCTTTATCTGGCATTTCTCCTCATGTTATCTCTCTCCAACTTTCCACCCTGTGCTGTCCCTCCCCTATTTCCACCCAACAGACCCCAGTGTGTGATGCTCCCCTCCCTGTGTCCAAGTGTTCTCATTGTTCAACACTCACCTATGAGTGAGAACATGCGGTGTTTGATTTTCTGTTCTTGTGTCAGTTTGCTGAGAATGATGGTTTCCATGTTCATCCATGTCCCTACAAAGGACATGAACTCATCATTTTTGATAGCTGCATAATATTCCATGGTGTATATGTGCCACATTTTCCCTGTCCAGTCTATCATCGATGGGCATTTGGGTTGGTTCCAGGTCTTTGCTATTGTAAACATTGCTGCAATGATTTCTATAGGATTCCACTGAACCCCAAATGGTAATGGACACCGTGGGAAGCTATGCGCTCCTCCTGGCAGTGGGCAAGGCCAGCTGTCCTCAATCTAGCACTTTGGATGCAATTCTGGGGGGAAAAAGCCAGCAAGGTGATGCCACATTTTGTCTATTACAGTCTTTTGACAAACACAAATGGATAAGGCATTTATATCTGAGGCATTTTATGGCATAATGCAAACATCTAGCATTTGCAGTAACTTTGTTTTTTGTTGGGTTCCTTTTTTTTTTTTTTTTGACAAGAGTCTTGCTCTGTCACTGAGGCTGAAGTGCAGTGGCTCCATCTCAGCTCACTGCAACCTCTGCCTCCAAAGCTCTAGCAACTCTCTGCCTCAGCCTCCAGAGAATTGGGATTACAGGTGCCTGCCACCATGCCTGGCTTTTTTGTAATTTTTGGTAGAGAAGTGGTTTCACCATGTTGGCCAGGCTGGTCTCAAACTTCTGACCTTAAGTGATCTACCCACCTTGGCCAAAGTGCAGGAATTACAGGTGTAAGCCACCATGCCCAGCCAAGCATTTCCATTCACTTTGAATTTGGAAATGCATGTAGCTTGAAGAAGAATTTTGGAATGAATGCTCAACAGAAACTGATTACCAAGACAAAAAAAATGCTGACTTACTACATTCTAGTAAAAACTGATAGATTACACAATTATGTAGCTAAAAAACAAACCCTGGTAATGTTTTTGTACTTAATTTCAAAGCTTAAGAAGAGGTGTGTTAAAGACTCCAAAAGCTGGAATTATGCCAGAAGCTTCACTATTAATATGGTCACGGCTTATATGGTGTATTGCTTAGCACTTTTGAAGCTCTATCCTTAATTTCGTTTTGTTTTCTTTAGAATCAGAGTCTTGCTCTATCACCCAGGCTGCAATGCAGTTGTGCAATCATAGCTCACTGAAGTCTCGAACTCCTAAGCTCAAGGGATCCTCCCACCTCAGCCTCCCGAGTGCCTGGGCCTGTAGGCATGTGCCACTGCATCCAATTACTCCTAGTGGTCTTACGACCCATACAAAGATCTCTTTGTGAAAGGCAGTTTGATATGCTGAGAAATTTTCTCAAAGTCCATTTGTCTACCAAATAAATGTTTCCATTTATGGGGAAAACAGAACTACATTGTAAGGAAAAAGTAACAGCACGTTGAAATTTCACTTAAGCCTTTGATACAAACTGGGTTATTATGCATTTACAAAAGATGCCCTCTGCCGGCCATGAAAAGATACATTTTATGATCTAACAGGCAGTATATTCACTTTATTATAAATAGGAATTAGGAAACTCCCATTCACAACTGCTACAAGGAGAATAAAATACCTAGAAATATAACTAACAAAGGAAGTAAAGGACCTCTTCAAGGAGAACTATGAACCACTGCTCAAGGAAATAAGAGAAGACACAAACAGATGGAAAAACACTATGCTCATGGTTAGGAAGAATCAATATCGTGAAAATGGCCATACTGCCCATAGTAATTTATAGACTTAACGCTATCCCCGTCAAACTACCAATGACCTTCTTCACAGAACTAGAAAAACCTGCTTTAAACTTCATATGGAACCAAAAAAGACCCCGCATAGCCAAGACAATCCTAAGCAAAAAGAACAAAGCTGGCAGCATCACTCTGCCAGACTTCAAGCTATACTACCAAGTAACTGTAATCAAAACAGCATGGTACTGTATCAAAATAGACACATAGACCAACGGAACAGAACAGAGGCCTCCAGAGCAACACTACACATCTACAACCATCTAATTTTTGACAAACCTGACAAAAACAAGCAATGGGGAAAAGATCCACCATCTAATTTTTGACAACAAATGGTGTTGGAAAAATTGGCTAGCAATGTGCAGAAAACAGAAACTGGACCCATTCCTGACACCTTATGCTAAAATTAACTCCAGATGGATTAAGGATTTAAATATAAGACCTAACACCATAAAAACCCTAGAAGAAAAACTAGGCAGAACCATTCAGGACATAGGCAAGGACAAGGACTTCATGACTAAAACACCAAAAGCAATGGCAACAACAGCCAAAATAGACAAATGGGATCTAATTAAACTCCAGAGCTTCTGCACAACAAAAGAAACAGTCATTAGAGCAAACCAGCAAGCAACAGAATGGGAAAAAATTTTGCAATCTACCCATCAGACAAAGGGCTAATATCCAGAATCTACAAAAAACTACAACAGATTTACAAGAAAGAAAGAAAAAAAAAAAAAGAAAAAGAAACCCTCCAAAAGTGGGCGAAGGATACGTACAGATACTTTACAAAAGAAGACATATATGAAGCCCACAAAAATATGAAAAAATGCTCATTATCACTGGTCATTAGAGAAGTGCAAATCAAAACCACATTGAGATACCTTCTCATACTAGTTAGAATGGCAATCATTAAAAAATCTGGAGACAACAGATGCTGGAGAGGATGTGGAGAAATAGGAACACTTTTACACTGTTGGTGGGAGTGTAAGTTAGTTCAACCATTGTGGAAGACAGTGTGGCGATTCCTCAAGGACCTAGAAATAGAAATTCCATTTGACCCAGCAATCCCATTACTGGGCATATACCCAAAGGACTATAAATTGTACTGTCATAAGAGACATATGCACATGCATGTTCACTGTGGCACTGTTTACACTAGCAAAGACCTGGAACCAACCCAAATGCCCATCAGTGATAGACTAGACAAAGAAAATGTGGCATATATTCACCGTGGAATACTACGCAGCTATAAAAAACGATGAGTTTGTGTCCTTCGTAGGGACATGGATGAACCTGGAAATCATCATTCTCAGCAAACTGACACAAGAACAGAAAATCAAACACCACCTGGTCTCCCTAATAGGCAGGCATTCAACAATGAGAACACGTGGACACAGAGAGGGGAGCATCAAACTCTGGGGTCTGAGGGGTTAGCTAAGGGAGGGATAGTGGAAGGGAGGGTGGGGAGGGATAATGTGGGGAGAAATGTCCAGTATGGGCGACGGGGGGATGGAAGCAGCAAACCACCTTGCTGTGAATGCACCTATGCAACATCTTGCATGATCTGTACATGTACCCCAGAATCTAAAGTATGATAAAGAAAAAAACCAAAATCATAAAAAAAGAAATTAGGACCATAAATGCAAAAAAAAATATAAAAAGCCACATTTTTCTCCCCACTGTGCAGAATAGTGTTTTTTGCTCCATGCTTAGTAGCTCGTGCCTCCCTGTGAGATGTCATCACTTGTTGCAGTTGTCACTGGGTGTTGCCCCATGACAGCTCCCCTGCTCTGCCCCTCACCCCAACACTCCTCCCTTTCCAAAGGAACCCAGTCTTGTGCAGGGGGTCACCTTCCTCCACACAGCCATGGGCTTGGTTCATCACAGTTCCCTGCCCCTGCTGGTCTTGGGACAAGCAGATGGGACAGGAGGGGCGGCGGCTGAGAGGTTTCTGGGGTTTCCAGCCAAAAGGGATTATGGGACCCCCCCAGCGGGATGCACTCTCCTCCCATGAATGTTGTGCTGGTGTGGGGCACCTAAGGCCTGCGGCAGCAGCAGCCTCAGCTAGCTGACAGCAAGCTCCAGCTAGGTCTGGCCTCTCGCGGGACTTAGAGAAGCTCCCCTCTAGCCCAGCTGACTCCAGAGTTAGTTTCTTACAGCTCAAGACACCCTAGTTGATGTAACACCCAGTTTGAGAAATGCTTCTAGAAAACTCACCTGGAGAGGCCCCACTCAGCTTTCCCTGCTCAACTTTGGGATGACACAAATGGGACCATCCACAGTGACTCACTGCAAGGAAAGGGTGGCAGGAGGAGGAACGACGACTGTCCCCACAACGCCATGAACGTTCTCATGGGCACCCTGGACATACGCTCCTCTTACAACACTTAAATATTTATTTTAAAAATCCACATCGCTTTGCTTTAAAAATGTTTATTTAGTGCCTGCAATGTACAAGGCACTGTTTGGCGCCATGAGGAATACACAAACGAACACGGCATGATTCTTGCCTTAGGAAGCTCACAGTCTAGCGTGGGAAATTAGAAATTGCACATGCACACAAGTAAAAGTCACACCAGCCAAAAAGCACTAAATGCTGTGAGATTGATAACATTCCAAGAACCCAGAGGAAGAAAACACTATTTGGGGATGAGAATAAGAGATTAGAGAAGGTACCTCAGAAATAAGGGGTTTAAAAACAATAGATCAAATGTAGATAGGAAAAAATTCAGAGGAAAAGGCAATCCAGGAAGGCTCTAATTGAAACCAGAAGCAGGAGGTACTTCTGTGATGTGATGGAGGCAGGAGAAGCCCCGCTGGGCTGAATTTAGAATGGGAGGGGAGGGAAGAAGAGGGGAGGGGAGAGGAGGGGAGGGGAGGGGAGGGGAGGGGAGGGGAGGCTGGAAAGATGCGTGGGAATAAAGAAGGTGAGTATGTGTGCCAGGCAGAGGTGTTTCCATTTCAATGGAAGTTTCTCAAAGACAGGTGATCTGGCTGAAGAAAGCTTAATCCGGTGGCAATGGAGAGGTGGCTTTAAGAAGGCGGGGATGAGGGAAGGAGGCTGGTTTGAAAATGATGACAAGAGTCTGGACTTGAGTGATGTGGCAGTGGCAATGAGAACGGAGTAGCTGCAGGTGGAAGACGGACACAGAACTGGGGAGATCTGGCGGAGGTGAGGCGGGCAGAAAGATGACAGCAGGTTTATACCTAAAGACGCGTGATCCATTCACAAAGCCAGGGAAACCTAAGAGGAAACGCTTTGTGTTTGAGGAGAGGAGGGTAGGGCTGAGGCTGAGACGAGGGCTGGCCTCCAGGTGGAGGGGTCCAGCAGACAGGTACAAGCCGGATGAGAGTTCAGGGCACAAGGCAGAGCCAGGAACAGACAGAAGGCTGCCGTGCAGAGACGAGGCTGAAGGCAGCGGCACAGGCTAAGGCCCATCTCACCAGGGAAGGGTGGGTGAAGCACAACCCTGTGACCACATGTTCCTCACAGAGGACATCCCCACAGAACACTCAGGAGGGTGACGACGACGCCTCCCACCAACAGTGCTGTGTGTCTCTGTGTCCCCGATTTCACGCCTAAGAAACAACGTCTTTGGCTATGTGATGACAAGCAGGAACGTCGCCTCCATCGTGGAGGGTCATCTTGAAAAGACTTACTCCAATGAGAGTTTTTAAAAGTTTTCATTATCATTTATTTTGAAGAGTTTTCTGTAATAAAACTTTTTTTCTGAAGACTTCAGAAAAGCTATCGATGTGTCACCTCATCATGTCTAAGAGCTAGAAGGAAACTGAGAGTCATCCCCACCCTCTGACTTCACAGATGAGGAAGCCAAGGCCCAAGCTAGCCAAGGGTCTCGCCCGGCACCTCACACAGCAGGGACGGCTCAGCTAGACCCACGGGCATAGGCAGTGCCTGCCCTCCCCACAGCCACTCCCATGGCCCATGGCTAAAGACAGACAGATAGGCAATAGGGGCTGGGAATAACACATCTGTATTTTAACTTTCTGAGAGAGGATAAGAAAAAATGGCTTGTGCTAGACATTGTTTGGACCCACCAAAGCCTTGCATATCTGAAAAGAAAATTACTTTGGCTTTCTGGAAACATTAAACTGCATTGAATAAAAAAAAAATAGACAAAGTTATGATACATCACATCCAGTAAGCTTCACAGCAGCTGCAGTAGGAGAAATGGCATTTCGTGTTGGTATGTGCATATGTGTGGAAAGGAAGAAGCAGAGCTCGGATTGTTTCATCTAACACGGAAGAAAAACACCCATGGCAATTCCCTTTTGGAAAGTTAAAGCCAATCTCCTTGGAATGAAGTTCCATACATTCATTCCCACAGAAAATGGAGGAAAACACAATTACATTTCAAATCTGTTAAGTCACAAATACACAGGCAGAGTCCTGGGGAGCCGTGTCACAGTTAACCAGTTTGAGGACATCAGCGTCTTCCCCTATATTCTGTAAACACAATTTCCTAATGAATGCTTCCCTTTAACAAAGCCTGCTTCAGTCCTCCCTGCAGGCCCACTAGAGTCCTCCAGCAGCACGTGTCAGCAGGAGCCATCAGATTTTCCAAAAAATCTTCTTTCTATAGAGGATGTAGGCAATGAGCACCCAGAGGGCAGTGGCAGCAATGTTCTGAGTCAGGTGCTCCCTGTGGGACTGGTTGTCCTCCAGCTTCCACTGAAAGGGGAAGTAGTTCTCAAACACTTCATGGCCAACATACACCAGAATAGAATTCATTCCTTAAGAAGAGAGACATACAGAAGATCATGTTTCTCACAGAGGAGTCACATCTGATCATCTAGTTAATTCTTGAAGCCAGTTCAATGGAAAAACAGAAAGCATGCACTTCCATTACTGGCTCCTGCCAAAAATAAGTGATGCGTATCTTAGGTATTTAAGTATAAACTGTATCAAAAATTATTAGAAGGCCTGGTGCAGTGGCTCGCGCCTGTAATCCCAGCAATTTGGGAGGCCAAAGTGGGTGGACCACTTAAGGCTAGGAGTTCAAGACCAGCCTGGCCAACATGGTGAAACCCTGTCTCTACTAAAAATACAAAGTTAGCCGGGGTAGTGGCATGCACCTGTAATCCCAGCTTCCTGGGAGGCTGAGCCACAAGAATCACTTGAACCCAGGAGGTAGAGGTTGCAGTGAACCGAGATCACACCACTGCACTCCAGCCTGGGCAACAGAGCAAGATTCTGTCTCAAAAAAAAAAAAAAAAAGTTATTAGAAAATATTCACTTTATAGCAGTATGATTTGAATGCTAAATCTGAAAGGAAAGGTAAAATTATTATTAATAACTTATATTTTCTAGGCAGAAAACCCGAGGTCCAAAGAATGTAACTATTCCTAGAATCAAAGGGTTGAAATGAGGCATTGAAATGATCTGGTCTGTCTCTTAGTTCTTAGGTGGAGCTGCATCTAAATCATTCCCTGTATCCCTTGGAATCACCTCTTGATATTTCTTCTAATGTACAATCTCTAAGGTAGTGGATTTATATTAAGAAAGCAAGCATAACCTCATTATTAAGAACCAGAAACTGGAAAATGTGCCCCAAATCATTTCTACTCTTCCACAATTTGGTATAGCCTGAAGAAATAGGTGGAGTCACAAACTGTCATACGACTCCACAACACACGTGGGTGAAAACAGGGCGGACTACTGTGGAGCAGGCCAGTGATGTCTGGTGTGACCTGGGACAATGTGGCCGCTGCCGCTTCCTCCCTCAGCCTGGCTCTTGGACACCTCCAGCCAGGGCAGTGGCTCAAGATCCCAGCATGGAGGCTCCAGAGCTCCCTGAGCCTGTCCCCCTGGTCACTATCACCAATTCTGTTTGGGGTTGGTGACTTACCTGGATAAAAGAAGGGGGTTCCCGTCCACAGCCCCTTCACATCCACAACTGGGTACAGAACCAGCAGGATGAAGAAGGCAAAAGAACTGAGCGTGGTGACATATGAAAGCGACCTGGGAGGGACAAAGGAGGTGTTTCAGTGCTCATGCAGAGCACATCCAATTGCAACATGAACAACCATCCATAACAAACATAAAACATCAGGCTTTTTCCATACATACCAGAGATTTTTGTTTACTGGAATAAAGCCTTCATTTTCAGAAACTTTTGTCAGAGCAACAGAAATGAGCCCCTATAATGGGGAAGAGAAGGATGTTAACATTTTATACTATCTCAAAAAACACTTGGGTTTCAACACCCATATATATGAGTTATTTAATCACATAGAGAGGGCTAAAAATTGGGCTTTATATTTTTCTCTTATAACTGGAAACGTATTTTTTAAATGTATGAACTAAAAAACATTCTCCCCAAATCTCTTCCGCATTCTACTGAGTTGAAGACGGTAAGCTTATTGATTAAATGACAGTGACTCCTGAGAGGACGCATGGCTACGGTCAGGGTGAAATGCACAGAGGGTCAGCCTTGCAAAACTCTCATTCCCGCATAATCTGGAAGTTGATGTCTGCAACCTGGTCAGATTCACCCAGTCTCTCTGATACAGCCCTTCACACAGAGCCCATACCTCACATTTATTCAGGCATTCCTGGCTGTCTCATGGCAAACACTATCTTATTTATAAAGACATTTTCCTAAGAAAATAAGTCTGTGCAAAGGTGGAGATGTATTCCTCTCTGTTATTCAAGTGAAGAAAATGGTACCTGCTGTCATGTGGTGACAATGGCTATCCCAGTGTTGCTAAACATTTTATTCCTTTATACATGTGAAGGAGGAAAGGAATTTTAGTGAGGAACACTGCTTACTTACAAGAATACAACACCAAGCAGTGAATCGAATGAGGATATCTTTGGTCCGAGCCTTGTAATACAATAGTATTTTTCCTGCCTGCGGGAGAAAACACCACGTGACCAAAAGAATTGCCAAAGGGATATTTTTATTTCATATTCATCCACTGTCTTAAATACGAGACACGCAGATTCATTTGCTGGGTGTGCTACTAGGTGCTGGGATTACAGGGAGGAGGGAAACATCACCCCTGCCTTTGACTAGTGGAGGCTAAGGGAGGAGCGTGGGACCAGAGAGGAAGGCCCTCCCCGGGAAGGAGGAGGAGAAGCCAGCCACGTCTGAGGTCCTGCAGGGAACGCAGAAGCCCAGGCATGAGGAGGAGAGGGGCACACAGGCAGGCTCCGTGGCTCTCACTTCCAGGCAGGGCCCATGGAGAATTCTTCCCAAAGGTGACAAGGGTCCCCTCAGACCGGCCTGCCTGCTCAGTGCCCCAGTCTTGGCAGCACTCTGGGACAGGGTGGAACCAGAGGCAGGGAAACATTTAAAAACAGTGAAATATGGACTTTGCATGCAATCCCTCTGAAATTAGGAATTAAATTTTGAAAATATCAAAGGATAAGAAGCTTCAAAAATAATTTATAGTAATAGCTAATATTAATCCATGTTCTTTATGCACCAGTTTAGAACTTTACACAAATTAACTTATTCAGTCCTCAAAACGCCTTTCTGAAGTAGAGGCTGTTGAAGCACAGAGGGGGGTCAGCCAGATGCCTGGGGCCACCCAGCTGGGAAGTGGTAGAGCTGGACACAAACCCAGGGAGCATGGCTCCAGGTCTGCTCTCCTAGCCTCCCCACTGGACCGACCACGCCAGGGGCATCAATCTACCTAGACAGTGTATGTAGGGATTACATGAATACATGGAAAAGTACAGTATCAACTAGAAAGGGCTATACAGATAAAGATACTGCTTCTAAACACAAAATTACTGAATCACCAAAATGTACAGCTGACCCTTGAACAACACAGGTTTGAACAGCGTGGATCCACTTACATTCAGATTCTCTTCCGCCTCTACTACTCATGAGACAGTAAGACTGACTCCTCCCCTTCCTCCTCCAGCCCCTCCTTCTCCTCCACCCCCTTCCTCCTCCACTACCCCTCCTCCTCCTCCATACCCTCCTCCTCCTCTACCCCATCCTCCTCAGGACACACAGACTAATACAAGTGTACATGAAAGAAGTGTGACAAATGGCACAGTGACTTCCCCAATGTTACCAACACCCACACACTCTGCAAACTCCATCAGGAAAATCTTTCTTTTTTGAGCCAGGGTCTCACTCTCTTGCCCAGGCAGGAGTGCAGTGGTGCAGTCAAGGCTCACTGCAGCCTCAACCTCCTGGGCTCAAGCCATCCGCCTACCTCAGCTCCCAAGCAGCTGGGACTACAGGTGCGTGCCATCGTGCCTGGCTAATATTTTTAATTTTTTTGTAGAGACAGGGTCTATGTTGCCCAGCCTTGTTTCAAACTCGTGGACTCAAACAATCAATCCTCCTGCCTTGGCTTCCCAAAGTGTGGAGTTACAGGCATGAGCCACCACACCTTGGCAAGGGAAACCTTTTATCCAGAAACTGCCATGCTAAGATAAGCCATATAAGTAAGATTTTTTTTTGAGAATATAAGAATTATATCTAATTACTTGAATGTGCTGAATTTCAGTAACTTCTGGATCTGCACAATCTGTCAAACACAACAGAATGTATTAGACTAACAGCACAGGAGAGAATATGCTTCCAATTATTTTAATGAAGTGGTTTTTAAATGAGTCATGAATAAAACATCATACATTGTCAGAAAAAGTAACCTAATGAAATGAACCAATACCTGAACTCCTAAAAAGGCCATCAGGATGGAGTTGATGGTGCCCAGGATGCCCTCGGGGTCATAGGCCACCTCAGTATGGTAAAGCACCTTAACAAACAGAAACAGAAGGCAGCGCTCACTCAGTGACCCAAAAACACACACAAACAGCTCCTAGACCCAGTACAAACCTGAGTACACTCCAGTAGGTCATGGTTTTCTGTTTTTGCTGCAGAAATTCATTGCCGACTTACAGGGATTACAGGCAGAATGCTTCTGGCTAAGAAAGTGTGTGATGTGGACACTCAGCAGGGAACAGAGAGGCCCAGGGACAAGCCCCAGTCCAGCAGCCACCGTGATTGCAGCAAGGGCAGTAAACAACACTGGTCAAAGGCCTGGTGACATGATGCCTCTCTGACCAGCTTCCAATGCAATGCACAGTACCTTCCTAATTTCCAGATTTATTCTTTTTGATCAACCCTACTGTAGCATCGATGGCTTCCTATCTTCTAAGGCAAATAACATTTTTACATATTTTTCTTTTTTTATTATAAAATAAATGTTACTGCAGAAATTGTACTGGAAATTGACTGAACGTCTGGAAATGAACAGTGTGGGAGATGCTGTCATCTACCCCCAGAGCTCTCCCACCCTTTCAGCAAGAAGCTTTCATTCCACCAGCTGCTGGAAGGATTCACGACCACAGCTCTCAGATGGGTGCCTCTTCTGGATCTGCCCTTGACTAAAGAGAGCTGCCTCTCCAGGGGTCAGCCTTTTGCTGGGGCCCTCCCACATCACCCAGGGGTAGGAAGGGCCCAATCCCTTGCTTCAATTCAGAACAACTCTGCAGCACCACCTTGGTGCCCCTGAGATTGGCTGGGGCCTTTGTTGGGGTTCAGTGCAGCTCAGCTTCTTCTGCACCGTCCTCCCTCCTTGATTCCCCAGCAGGAATTGACCCCTGCAAGGACTGCTCGATCGAAATCCGACATAGAGAAGAGCACTGTGCTACGATCATTTACAAAATGTTTTCTCACTTGCTTTCCCCTCCCCCCCTTAGAGAGATGGAGTCTCACTATTTATTGTTCAGGCTGGTCTCAGACTCCTAGGCTTAAGCAATCCTCCTGCCTCAGCCTCCTGGGTCTCAGGCTCCTGAGTAGCTGGGAATGCAGGTGTGAGCCACTGTGCCGGGCTCCACATTCTCACTTGAAAATTCAACATAATGTTTACACACTGCCTTATAGTGAACCCTAAAGTCATTAAGTTAGCTGACTTTTCAAATAAACATCGGTTCTCAGTGTGCTTTATTAAATGGACATGGTTTAACATTGGCTGGCTCTTTCTGCTTTCCTTCACTTCTGAAAGCCTGAGCTTTCAGTTCTAAGTGAACTTGAGTTTCACTCACAGCAGAAGACGGGTGCTGGTAAAGGTGATTGTCTCCCAGCAGCAGGCGGTCGATGTAGCCCGCAGCTCCTCCCGTACAATTTGGATACTTGCCAAAATCTCCAATGCCCCCAGGACCAAGATAACCACTAGAAAGGCGAAAAACATATGTAAATGACAAGACCTCAGAAGGGCAAACAGAGGGACAGGGAATTAAAAAAAAAAAAAAAAAAAAAAAAACCTCAGCAGGGGTCATGATGTATATTGGCCATGTATGCAGCCCAATTGAGAGCCCCAAACACGCACCAGCTAAAACGTCCCTCTGGCTAGTGCACGCTTGCCGACAAACTGCTCCCAGACTGTGCAGGTGGGAGACCTAATTTCTATTCAGACTGACCCTCATACCACCCACAGGGAAATCACTTTGGACACCTGCCAATCTCCTCTCCCCATGCAAAGCAGGCCTCAAAGAAGGAGGAAAATGGAAAGAGAATTCCTCTGACTTGAGACATGTGAAAGCTGTAAGCCCAGAAACTCTTACTGTCCAGAACAGGACATCCACAAGGGATGACCCTCAGGGGTTCGCTTACGTAGGGCACCCAGGGACTGGCAGGAGGAATGTCAAGCCCAGCCACAGGCCTTCCAGCGCCAGGATGAGCAGCCACTGGGGCCAGCTGGACGTGATGTCTTGAAGAGAAAGGCAGCTCCTCTCCTGAGTGGGGGCAGAAAAATAAAACACGCATGAACTAAATGCAAATAGAAGGGGACTGAGTCACCGGAAATTCCGGGTGACTCTTTTCTTGGCCTTTTTGGCAGTAATATAAAAACTGACTGACTATGAGTTAGATTGTCCAGATGCTCCCTCTCCATGAAATCTCACAGCGAAACATTTGTTCGAAAGAAGTCAAAAGACAATTCTATTCCTGTGCCCAAGAGAACTGAAGACATATGTTTGCACAAAAACTTGTACACAAATAGACACAGGAGCATTGTTCACAACAGCCAAAAAGAAGAAACAAGTCAAATGTCCACTGATAAACAGGTGAGCAAATGTGGTGTATCCCTAAAAGGAACCTAATTCAGCAGTCTTGGAATGAAGTGCTGGCACGTGCACCAACATGGAAGAACCTCGAAAAATACACGAAGTGGAAGCAGCCAGACACAAAAGGCCACATATCATACGACTTCATGTATGGGGACTGGCTAGGACAGGTACATGCATAGAGACAGAAAGCAGACTGGTGTTGCCTGGGGCTGGGGGAGTTGTGAGGTATGGGGAGTGACTGGCGGTGAGTGCAGGGTTCTTCAGGGGGTAAGAAAAACCTCCTGGAATTACAGACTGGTGACAGCTACACAACTCTGAATATGGCAAGTATCTGCGAATTGCACAATTTCAACATGCGAGTTTTATACATCAATACACCTGTGATTTAAAAATTAAAAATAAAATGTTTAAATAAAATGAAATTCAAAGTTTTGGATCGGGGTGGTTGAAGGAAGAAAGGGTGCAGCCCACGTGCTCTTAGTGTCCCACTGAACCCCTCATCCTATGGTGACGACCCTGTATGTGCCTCCATGGACCCTTAGGTCCCACAGAAGGGCTGAAAACCGCGGCTTTGATATCCATGGCTGACCAAGCTCCATGCCACTCATGCACAGCTCGCCTCTCCTTCACCTTAAGGAAATCCACTGCCAGGGGACACATTACACTGAGGTAAAGGGCAGAGGAGGAATGAGTAACAATGACTAAAACACCCCCCAAAATAGATAACTAACATTACAAGAAGCGCCCAGAGAACGTGGGATTCAGTGATGAACTTGCTAGTTACGTATCTTGAAAGAAGCTAGAAAACAACACAGCTTTATTAACTGATTGTTGAATAGGACTCCAAATGGAAGGTTTTAAACATTTCCACTAGAATTTTTGCCACTAATGGTGGATGGGGGAAAGAAGTAACTGTCAGCTGGGTAATCTCCACCCAACAATTTATAGTAAGAGAGGAAGTAATCACAAACACGATGAAACTCTGACATGCTTCCAATAAAGAAGCAATACAAATAGCCAAGCACAATATCGTCATTCTCCCATGCCCTACCCAGGGATCATCTTCAAAACTGAACTTTATAGCATTTGAATAAATAGCAAAATGTTACATGAATTTTACACATATATACGCTATGCTACAAGGAAATTGAAAAATTGGCAATAATGCTCCATGAGACTGAACCAGCAAACTGGACACTGGTGGTATTATTTAATACCATCAAGAATGGGGCCAGGCATGGTGGCTCGCACCTGTAGTCCCAGCACTTTGGGAGGCTGAGGCGGATGAATCACTTGAGCCCAGGAGTTCAAGACCAGCCTGGGTAACATGGTGAAACCTAGTCTCTACAATAAATACAATCATTAGCTGGAGATGGTAGTGCACGCCTGTAGTCCCAGCTACTCCGGAGGCTGAGGTGGGAGAATAGCTTGAGCCTGGGAGGTCAAGGCAACAGTGAGTTGAGATCATGCCCCTGCACTCCAGCCTGGGTGACAGAGCGAGACCCTGTCTCCAAAAAATAAATTTAAAAAGAATGCACTTGAAACTAGCAAAGAGGATTTTGCATGTTCCTGACACAAAGAAATGATAACTGTGTGAGGTGAAGAATATGCTAATTGCCCTGATTTGATCATTACATACTGTATAATACACAGGTATCACAATATTACTTCGAGCCTTATAAATATGTACAATTATTACATATCAACTAAAAATAAGAATGCATATAATTACTGCCTGCTGACAAAATTTGTTAAGAGGATAGATCTCATGCCATGTATATTTTACCATAATAAAAAAATTGATATAAAGATTAAATTAAAATAACTAAAGTGGAAATCAGAATGTATTCGATTAGCAGAAGTAGAGTATTCCATGAAGAAATTTTAAAAGTTCTAAAAACCATATCCCACTTTAAAAAAAAAAAAAAAAGTTTTGGCTGGGCGTGGTGGTTCACCCTTGTAATCCCAGCAATTCAGGAGGCCAAGGTGGGAAGATCACCTGACTCCAGGAGTTTGAAGCCAGCCTGGGCAACATGGTGAGACCTTGTCTCTACAAAAAAATGAACAAAATTAGCCAAGCATGGTGGTGCGCTCCTGTAGTCTCAACTAATCAGGAGACTGAGGAGGGAGGATTGCCTGAGCCTGGGATATTAAGGCTTCAGTGAGCTGAGATCGCACCACTGCACTCCAGCCTGGGCAACACAGCCAGACCCTGTATCAACAACAAAAACGATGACAAAAAGAACACAGTTGCTGGCCAGGCATGGTGGCTCCCGTGTAATTCCCACCCTTTGGGTGGCCAAAGCTGGGAGGATCACTTAGACCCAGGAATTAGAGACCAGCCTGGAAAACATAGTGAGACTGGGTCACTATACAATACATATTTTTAATTTAAAAAGCGTTTTGTTTTTTTTTTAATTAAAACATGGATTCTCACCGAAGCACAATGTTCAGGCACGGGTTTAGCAAAGAGGAGCTCCAACACAGCAACCACAAAGTAAGTAACTCCCAAGCGCTGCAGCACGCCAGGAATGCGCACCTTGTCCCAGGACACTGCAGAAGACACAGTTAAGCCAAGTGTTAGCCAAGACCTCTCTTCTCATCCCAGGACAACATTATTTGTTTCCTAAAGGGGAAGACATACCTTTATTGCATCTAAGTAAGTCTTTTTTAAGCTCTTGGACATGGAAATACATATGGTCAAGAGACATGGGCTCAGCCCCGCTTCCAAAAACAGGCCAATCCCTCTTAACAGAAGGAGGGACAGGGACGTGACTCAAACTCAAAACAGGAAGCTGGCCAGGTGGGGGACTGGGAAAAGAACCAAAGTGTCGGCCGGGTGTGGTGGTTCATGCCTGTAATCCCAGCACTTTGGGAGGCCAAGGCAGGCAGATCACCTGAGGTCAGGAGTTCGAGACCAGCCTGGCCAACATGGTGAAACCCCATCTCTACTAAAAATGCAAAAATTAGCTGGGCATGGTGGCAGATGCCTGTATCCCAGCTTCTCAGGAGGCTGACGCAGGAGACTGGCTTGAACCCAGGAGGCAGAGGTTGCAGTTGCAATGAGCCGAGATCATGCCATTGCACTCCAGCCTGCGGGACAAGAGCGAAACTCTGTCTCAAAAAAAAAAAAAAAAAAAAAAAAGACAAGAACCAAAGCATCTTACTCAGGTGTGAGGATAAAGCCAGGACCACACCTGACTCTAGCTCCGGCGCCTTCCTATTAGGAATTTGCAACCAACTCACATGTCCACCATGACCTTGCAGGCCCAACACAAGCCACGAACTGACCCTCCCTGCCCTACCAGCTACCCAGCTGTATCACCACAAGAACAAACCTCGGTAAGAAACCCTAAAATGAAGCCTACTGGAAGCAGTGGCTCACTTTTTGGAGATCCATCATGTCCACTTTCATGTGAAACACCACCTGGAAGTAACCTCCACCTCTTGCTAGTGCCTATAAAAGGGTGTATTGCCTGAGGGATCCATTTGGCCACTGCCTAGACATTGTGTCTTCTTTTGCTAAATGACAGTGCAAGGCCCTTGAGGACAGTGACTAGTGCCCTCCCAACTCTGATACTGGGTCAAAGCAGCGGGCTCACAAGTCTTCCCTCAGCCCTCCTGTCCCTGCATACTACCAGACTAATGACAAAGAGATCACTCCTTGAAACCCAGCTGCCATGTAAGTGCCAGCGAAGGTGGATTCATGAACTGCTGCACAGGATTGAAAGCTGATGAAACAAAAATAGTAGGGGGCAAAGTCAGCGACCAAGGTGGCCTGGTCTGGTCCCTGCTGTGCCTCTCACTACACTCAGATGATCCAGAGAAAACCTTCAATCGCTCTTGGCCTCAGGCTTTTCCTTTGCACAAGAGAAGGGTTTGAGTAGTCTCAGAGGCTCCTCCCAGGTCTAAAATTCAATAGTAATAATAATAATACTCACAGTTAGACAACCATTGTAGATACTTTCCTAAAAATTACCCTAGTTGCAGGCACTGAGATGGAGGAATTGCATTTTTTTCCAATTATAACATATAGTTTCCGTATTTCAACCTGAATATATATAACAGAAGGAAAAGGTGGTACTTACATGGACCAAGGCAATAATTGGGATTCACAATGATAATTCCTATGCAGATTAACAGGAAACTCCTCCATGCAATCTTCCCCAGCAATCTGAATTTTGAACATCCCCGTTGCATTATAGAAGTCATTGATAGAAAAATAGAAGTTCCCATAATAAATACAAACCTAAAAATAATCCAGTTATTAATAGGTGGCCATTTCTAACGTTTTTGTCTGTATATCATTAACATTTTATAATATACTATATAAAACAAGTGACCATACTTTGTTTAAAGTAGCCAATTACTGAAATAATACTGAGCTAACAGTAGAGGAAGAAGTGAGAATATAGCCCCATGGGGCTGGGAGGTTTCTGACAGTACATCTTTAAGTCCTGTCTTAGGAGAAAATTTCTTTAATATTAAATGGAATTTCCAAGGACAACCCTCCCATTTTGTTGTCAAAAAGAAATGACGACGATGATGCCATAATCATGTCTCCAAACAACTAGACATTCACTAGCACACACTCAAAGCCCCTGAAAAACAGACATTTGAATCATTTCTACATACACTTCTGTGCCTGAAAGAAAAAATGAAAGCTTTTTTTCTCTCCATTTAGTCTGAGACATACACATTTTTCCTTTCTTTTCTTTTACCATGCTAAAGTATCTCTTTTACAAACAACAGTTAGAACACTGATTTTTCTAATTACTTGGCAGAGATGAAAGTCGCTTTTGCTGCATTCCTTGGTAACTCTGGGAAAAACTGAAAGCCTTTCCTCTGAGATTTGGAACATGACAAGGATGCCTACCTTTCACCACTGTTATTCAACATGATACTGGAAGTCCTACCTAAAGCAGTCAAAAAAGAGAAACAAATAAGGGGCATCCAAGTTGGAAAGAAAGAAGGCAAAGTCTCCTCGTTAGCAGATAACAAGATCTTCCATTTGGAAAAACCTAGACTCTACCAGAAAACTATTACAACTGATCAACAAATGCAGTAAAGTACCAGGATACAAAATCAACATATAAAAATCAGTAGCATTTCCATATGTCAACAGCAAACAATCTGAGAGAGAAATCAAGAAAGTAATTCCATGTCCAATAGCCACAAATAAAATAAAGTACCTCAAAATTAACTTAACCAAAGAAGTGAAGGATTTCTACAAGGAAAACTATAAACCACTGATGAAAGAAATTGAAGAGGGCATCAAAAAATGGAAAGAAATTCCATGTTAATAAATTAGAAAAATTAATATTGTTAAAATGTCCACACTAAAGCAATCTACAGATTCAATGCAATCCCTATAAAAATACACTCTTCACTGAAATAGAAAAAATAATGCTCAAATTTATATGGAACCTTAAAACACCCAGAGTAGCCAAAGTTATCCTGAGCAAGAAGAACAAAACTGGAGGAATCACATTACCTGACTTAAAATTATACTACAGAGCTATAGAAATGAAAACAGCATGGTAGTGGCTTTAAAAGCAGGCACATAGACAGTGGAACAGAATAGAGAACTCAGAGATAAATCCACATATCTACAGTGAACTCATTTCGACAAAAGTGCCAAGAACACACATTGGAGGAAGGACAGTCTCTTCAAAAAAAATTATGCTGGAAAACTGGATATTCATGTGCAGAAGAATGAACCTAGACTCCTATCTCTCACCATATAAAAAATCAAATCAAGCCGGGCGTGGTGGCTCATGCCTGTAATCCCAGCATTTTGGGAGGCTGAGGTGGGCAAATCACAAGGTCAGGAGATCGAGACCATCCTGGCCAACACAGTGAAACCCCATTTCTATCAAAAAAAAAAAAAAAAAAAGATTAGCCGGGTGTGGTGGCATGCACCTGTAGTCCCAGCTACTCGGGAGGCTGAAGCAGAAGAATCACTTGAATTCAGGAGGCGGAGGTTGCAGTGAGCTGAGATCAAGCCATTTGCACTCCAGCTGGGGTAATAAAGTGAGACTCTGTCTCAAAAAAAAAAAAAAAAATCAAATCAAAATGGATTAAAAACTTAAATTTTTAAGACCTCAAACTATGAAACTACTAAGAGAAAACACTGGGGAAACACTCCAGGACACTGAACTAGGCAAAGATTTCTTGATTAACACTCTACAGAAGCACAAGTAACCAAAGCAAAAATGGACAAATGGGATCACATTAAAAAGCTCCCACACAGAAGAGGAGACAATGAACAAAGTGAAGAGACAATCCACAGAATGGGAGAAAATATCTGCAAACTACCCATCAGACAAGCAATTAATAGCCAAAACATAAAGGAGCTCAAACAACTCTATAGGAAAAACATCTAATAATCCAATTTAAAAATAATAAAAAGGCTGGGCTCGGTGGCTCACGCTTGTAATCCTAGCACTTTGGGAGGCCAAGGCAGGTGGATTACCTGAGGTCAGGAGTTCAAGACCAGCCTGGCCAACACAATGAAATCTCATCTGTACTAAAGATACAAAAATTAGCTAGGTGTGGTGGCACACACCTATAATCCCAGCTACTTGGGAGGCTGAGGCAGGAGAATCGCTTGAACCTGGGAGGTGAAGGTTTTGGTGAGCCAAGATCACACCAATGCGCTCCCACCTGGGCTACAGAGACTTCATCTCAAAAAAAATAAAAAATAAAAAAAAGACAAAAGATCTGAACAGACATTTCTCAAAAGAAAACATACAAATGGCAAACAGGAATATAAAACGGTGCTCAACATCACTGATCATCAGAGAAATGCAAGCCACAATGAGATATCATCTTACCCCAGTTAAAATGGCTTTTATCCAAAAGACAGGCAACAACAAATGCTGGTGAGGATGTAGGGAAAAGGGAACCACTGTACACTGTTGGTGGGAGTGGAAATTAATGCAACCATCATGGACAACAGGTTAGACGTTCCTCAAAAACTAACAATAGAGGTATCATATGATCCAGCAATCCCACTGCTGGGTACAGATGCAAAAGAAAGGAAATCAGTACATTAAAGACATACTCCCATCTTTATTGCAACACTATTCACAATAGCCAAGATCTGGAAGCAAACTAAACATCCATCAACAGACACTTAGAAAGAAAATGGGGTGCATATACACAGTGGAGTACTATTCAGCCATAAAACAGAATGAGATCCGGTCATTTGCAACAATGTGGATAAAACTGGGACACTATGTTAAGTGAAATAAGCCATGTGAAGTCAAACTAAACATGTTCCACTTATTTGGAAGCTAAAAATTAAAACAACCGAACTCAGGGCGATAGAGAATAGAAGGATGGATACCAGAAAGGAAGTGTAGTAGGGAGGAGAGGAAGAGGGATAGTTAATGACTACAAAAATAGAGCTGGATGGAACGAATAAGATGAGGTATTTGATAGCACAACAGGGTGACTACAGTCAACAATAATTTACTACACATTTAAAATAACTAAAAAATTATAATTGGATTGTTTATAACACAAAATGGTAAATGCCTGAGGGGAGGGATACCTTATTTACCCCGATGCGATTATTATGCATGGTATGCCTGCATTAACATATCTCATGTATCCTGTAATATATATACCTACTATGTACCCAGAAAAATTTAAAATTTGAAGTAAAAATGAGGGATCAATTTCACATCACATAAGTAATGTCCCATCACAAGAATAAGAAGCCATAAATTATCAGAGACAGAATTGAATTACTCAACTATTATTTTAAATTTTAGTTTATGACTATCATTGCCCACCTATATATCTATTAGCATTCACTGATACCAATATACTGTATTTCTTTAGGAAATATGATTTTATAATTACTTTCAGGATTAATGGAACTGAACTATGTGTTCAGAATTTATAATTTCCTACAAGATTTCAGGATCTAGGATATTGTATCTACATTAACAAAATATTCCCAACAAAATCACTCTTTTATACACACACGTGTAGGCACTGTGTCAAGTATGAGAGCTAGCCAGTAAGAAGGACTTCCTAACCACATAACACAGGCCCGTCTCAGAGAGAACCTCCAGCATCATCTGAAAAACAGGAGATTGGAGTCAACCAATGGAAGAGAAGAGGGCAGACCTCCAACTCACCATGGGAACACGAGGTCAGCCACCGTCAGCCCTGCAGAACAAGTACAAAGCATAAGCAAAAGGACTCCAGAATGCAAATATCTCCTAAATCTAGTGTGGACTTCATTACTTACTGGTATAGAAAGTAAACTCAGGACCGGGCATGGTGGCTCACTCCTGTAATCCCAACACTTTGCGGGACCGAGGCAGGATGATCACCTGAATTCAGGAGTTTGAGACCATCCTGGCCAACATGGTGAAGCCCCTTCTCTACTAAAAACACAAAAATTAGCCGGACATGGTGGCAGGCACTTGTAATCCCAGCTACTCAGGAGGCTGAGGCAGGAGAATTGCTTGAACCTGGGAGGTGGAGGATGCAGTGAGCCAAAATTGTGCCACTGCACTCCAGCCTGGGAGACAAGAGTGAAACTGTCTCAAAAAAAAAAAGGAAACTCATAGGCCAGGTGTGGTATGGCTCACACCTGTAATCTCAGCACTTTGGGAGGCTGAGGTAGGAAGATCGCTTGAGTCCAGGAGTTTGAGACCAGCCTGGCCGACAGAGTGAGACACGATCCCTACTAAGAATTGTTTTAAAACACTAGCCAGGGATGGTGGCGCACACCTGTAATCCCAGCTACTTGGGAGGCTGAGGTGGGAGAATTGCTTGAGCCTAGAATTCGAGGCTGTGGTCAGCCGTTACCACACCACTGCAATCTAGCCTGGGCTACAGAGTAAGTCTCTGCCTTAAAAAAAAAAAAAAAAAAAAAAAGTAAACACACAAACTCTTCCTTGAGACTGCAAAAGAGCACTGGGCCTGGCTGGGACAATTCCTATGAACATAACTAGACACAGAAGAGCTGAACTATGTAGACAAGCTTGTTATATTTAAGAAGCACTAATCCATTCTTAAAACAGCTACCAAGCCAGACCTACAGCTATTACTCACCACCACTCAGACCAATCCTAGTTCAATGCCATCTCAAAAAGGACCATTAAGTCCTAGAAGATGCAGCCACCAGAAGCATGGTGGCTGCAATAAAAGGCATATCTAGAATATGACCATGCTCATTTACAACCAAATCCATAACATATTCTGCAGAGTCCCTCAGTCACACAGCAGAAACTTTGAGTCTGTTACTACAGTGACGCTTTACAGATACACAGCACACAAAAGGAGGAACAAAACTAAAGGGCTCGCAGAATCATCTACAGGTCACCCTAGAGGGCAGGAGTTCAGTGGCTCAGAGGAGGCTGCTCAGACTCATTTCTGAAGTTTCTGGGGAGAATGCTGAGTGATTTTCCCACAAGGATGTATATAAGCAACACTACTTTTAGGAAATATCTTACCATTCCAACTTGCGTGTTTGAAATACCAGTATTTTCCTCCTCCATAATTGACGAAGACCATGAGTATGAGAGCAATCCTAGAAGAAGCCAACAAAGAGAAGCCTTTCAGGGTTTGCCATGTGAAAAGGAAGGGCTGAAATGAAGACAAATTTATACTCACAAGGTAGAGTCATACAACAATGCAATTCTACTGAGCAGTTTATTACACAAGACGAGACATCAAAGCCAAGAAGCAATTATTTTCTAATCAGTGCTATTAGGACCATGCACTAAAGTTCTTCATTGCCAACACTGCCTACATGACGTCTTAACCAATGTTTATGCTGTACTCTTAAATGATATGACTTAAAAACATAGCAAAATATTTCCGATAACTCAGTTTTGTGTTAATTATTTAGACATCTCGGGTTAAAGAACTCTAATAGAAGGCACACAGCCAGCTGAATCAGCAAGCTCAGAATTACAATCTTGGATCCTTTTCTGTCATTAGTCATAAGACCCTGGGCAAGGGTCTCATCGGTAAACTCACCTGTAAAAGAGAGAAAATGCCCTAACCACATATACGTATTTAGGAGAATGATGTATTTTACAGTGGCTAACCAGTGCCTGGCACATTTTAGGCACTTAATAAATGTTAGTTCCGTCTAGCTGTGACTGTCTTATCTCCAAAAATAGCAATGGTAACTGAAAGGTAGAATAATAGATTCTGGATGTTCTACTGTTTGAGGCTAACTGTGCAGAATGCTGAGGGTGCTGACCTTGGGTGTCAATGGGGTAATTTAGGAGACTCTGTAACTCAAGTGCCTGCAAGCAAACCCTGGCTTTCCTATTTGCTACCTAAGTGACCCTGGGCAAGTTATTTCACTCGGCAGCATAATTTCTTTTACTTTTAATATGAATCAGTCATCTTAAAAATATGTATCTCATAGGATTACTAAGAGATTAAATAAATTAAGACAAGTTAGAACAGTGATTGGCACATTGTGAGAACTCCACAATTGTTAGCAAGTTTCATTACGATCGTATCATTCTTATTACATGCTTCCAATCTACCTGCCAGGGTACTCAAGGCTTGATGAGGCTAGGGCAAAGTTATAGCGTTGTCACTAGAATTCAGAAGGCTTCAGTAGAAATAAAAGAACTGATACCTGTGTATTCATTCTTAGCTATACAGTCTTTTTACTTTATTTTCGGATTTCAGTCCTGGCCTTTGTTCTTCCACCAGGGCTATGGGTATGAGGGTCGCTCTGGTTACTATGGGTACTTGAGTCACTCTGTTAGCAGAGCAGGATCAGCCCTCCCTCTGCCACATGCTGCTGTTTCCTCACTAGACTAGTGCATCTTCTGAGCCATCAAGCTACTGACTGGACATGAGGTATAGTCTGTAGCCCCAAGTAACAGCCACCTGCCCAAATGAAAATGCCCTTCACTCAGCAGACTGCACATCCAAGTGGACACTGGCTCTGGCCTCATCCACTTCTCCTCGGTCAATATAGACACTGAGGATCATGATGGTCTTCCAGATTAGAGAGGCTGCTGACTTGACTTTTACATCCAAGAAATCCTTCCTAGCCTAGAAAGTAAAAGACATGTAAAAGTCCTTAAAAGCTAAAAGTGTGTTTATGTGTAGTTACGTAGTCTTGTGACTACCTGCACCCACTGTGCTACAGGGAGCCCCACATACCCCCTGAAGGTGTCCACACTGCGGAGGCGGAGCGGCAGGGAGGACGGACGCCACACTGCTGACTGGACATCACCATCGAGAGGGTCTGTCCTGCTGGGAGATCCCAGCTCCTTCAGAAAAAAAGGGAGAATGAAGACAACTCATAATGCTAAGTAGTAAATTTCATTTTTTTTTTAATTTAGGAAAGAAAGTGATAGAGTAGAAAGTTAAAAATAGTTTTTCTGCAGGTGTGGTGGCTCACACCTGTGATCTCAGCACTTTGGGGGGCCAAGGCAGGCAAATCCCTTGAGCTCAAGAGTTTGAGACCAACCCAGAAAACATGGCGAAACCCCATCTCTACAAAAAATACAGAAATTAGCAAGGTGTGGTGGCACACACCTTTAGTCCCAGCTACTTGGGAGGCTGAGGTGGGAAGATCACCTGAGCCCAGGAGACTCCAGTGAGCCAGCCCGCGCCACTGCACTCTAGCCTGGGCAGTAGAATAACATCCTGACTCAAAAAATAAACAAGTTTTTCTAAACAAAATTCTTGGATTTGCTTTTCTAAAGATCCCATCTAGTGGTTTGGCTTTCTACTTTATCAGCTTTTTCTGCCGATTACTGAGTTTGCCAGTGGCCACGCTGACAAAAATGACACTAAATAAATTAGTCCATAAGTGCACTTAGCACAAGCACAGAAGCCAACATCCCCATAAATGAGCCTGAATTTATTAACACAAATTTAATGACATATTTAAATCATTAGAGGAGGCCATCGGCATTTATAGATTTAATGGTGATGTCTCTTATTTCCTTGTTTTAACTTAACACTCTCTACTTAACTGGATTGATTCAACAATGCTGCCTGCAAAATGAAAAATGTCTCTACCTCACGTATTCTGATAGACCCCAGAGTTCCAACGTCACTGAAGCGAGAAGGGATGGGGCCCTTCCCAGGAGCTGAAGACAGGGCTGCTCTCTGCGAGGAATGCAGAACCTGCAACCTGGCCTTCCTCAGTATAAATATAAAACTGGACAACGATAATTACATTGGAAACTATAAATTCCAAGTTTAGAGAACCACCCGGAAAACATACTATGCATCTCATAACTTACAGAATTGATGAGGCGATCAGTTTCTCGAGAACTTATGGCCTTAGAAATCCAATTATTAAAGTCATCCAAACTGAAAATAAATAAAAGGCTCAATTAATTTATTTTCATTGGCAGAATTGTTTGAATGACTGGATATTATATTGAAATAAAATTAAGGCTCATATTCTCTATTAAGTAATGAAACATTCTAAATTTTTTTTAACAATATACAAATAGAAATCACAGTTTTCAGCAGCTCTACTTATAAATGCTCAACCTTGACAGCAGAGTTTCCTCATCAATAAAACAGGAATGATGAGAGAGCTTTCATTAAACAATTAAACACTTGAGCAGGTGAATAAGATCATTGTTCCCCGTAGCTGGGATTCTCACCAATAATGCTATTAAAATTAAAATAGCAAAATTTAGAAACAACCAAATTTACTCAAAACAGGGAAGACTAAACACAGAATATGACAGCTGTGTGATACAATGTGATACAGCCAAGAAAATAAAAGAATGTGGGCTGAAGAAACATGAAGATGAAGATAAACTATTAGGCCAGGCATGGCAGCTCATGCCTGTAATCCCAGCACTTTGGGAGGCCGAGGTGGGTGGATCACTTGAGGTCAGGAGTTGGAAACCAGCCTGGACAACATGGTGAAACCCTGTCTCTACTAAAAATACAAAAGTTAGCCAGGCGTGGTGGTGCATGTCTGTAATCCCAGCTACTCAGGAGGCTGAGGCAGGAGAATTGCTGGAGCCCAGGAGGTGGAGGAGGGTTGCAGTGAGCCAAGATCGCACCACTGGGCTCCAGCCTGGGCAACAAAGTGAGACTCTGTCTCAAAAAAGAAAAAAAAAGATAAACAATTAAATACAAAAAGCAAAAACCTAACATATTCAACCACATATTCAACCACAAATATTACAAATAAATTTAAAACCCACATGTGCACCCCAGGAAAACGTGAAAGCAACTTTGGGGTGATTCAAATAGTTAATCTACTGGGTTCTTTTTTTATATGGTTGCTTTAATTCAAAAAGAAATCCAGATAACATGAAATTGATTTACATGACTAACAAAAGATAAATATATTAACTGGTTTTTCTTTAAAATGAGATTTCTACCTGGGCACAAACCTTTTGAAAAGTATATCCCACCCTGGCATAAACAAATTATCCAGTGCATAGGATTTTTTTCCCCTTTTATTTTTCGGTCATGAACAGTTGCAAGCATATACAGAGGCAGAGAAACTAGTAGAGGCACACCTCAAGATACTGCAGGGTTGGTCCCAGATCACCACAATAAGGCCAACATCACAGTATCACAATACAGTGACTCACACAAATTTTTTGTGAGCCAATGTGTATGAAAGTTATATATTACACTATAGTCTAATGTGTGCTATAGCATTATGCACAAAAAGAGAGCTTACATACTTTAATTTTAAAATGCATTGCTAATAAAAAGTTAATGGTTATTTAAGCCTTCAGCAAGTCCTCATCTTTTCGCTGGTGGAGGATCTGGCCTCCCTGTTGATGGCTGCTGAGGGGTCAGGGTGGTGGCCACTGAAGGTTGAGGGGCTGCGGCAATTTCTGAAATCAAGACAATACAGTTTACCACGTTGACTTCTCCTTCCACAGAAGATTTCTCTGCAGCATGCCATGCTGTTTGATAGCATTTTCCCCACAGTTAGACCTTCTTTCAAAATTAGTCAATCCTCTCAAACCCTGCCTCCACTCTATCAAATAAGTTTATGTGATATTCTAAATCCTTTGTTATCTCAGCAATGTTCACAAGGTCATCACCAGGAGTAGATTCCATCTTGAGAAACCACTTTCTTTGCTCATCTGTAGGGAGCAACTCCTCATCTGATCAAGTACTCTTAGCAGTTCAGTCACATCTTCAGCTTTCACTTCTAGTTTTCTTGCTATTTCCACCACAGCAGCAGTTATTTCCTCCACTGATGTCTTAAACCCCCAAGTCATCCTTGAGGGCTAGAATTAACTTCCTCCAAACTCCTGTTAATGTTGATATTTTTACTTCCTCCCATGAATCACAAATTTCTTCATGGCTTCTGCAATGATGAATCCTTTCCAGAAGGCTTTCAATGGACTTCATCCAGATTCATTGGAGGAATCACTATCTATGGCAGCTATACAGCTTCAAAAGATCTATTTTTTAAATAGTAAGACTTGAAAATCAAAATTACTTATTGATCCATGGGTTGCAGAATGGATATTGTGTTAGCAGGCATGAAAACATTCATCTGCTTGTACATCTCCATCAGAGCTCTTGGGTGACTTGTTGTATTGTCAATGATCGATAATATTTTAAAAGAAATCTTTTTTTTTTCGGAGCAGTAGGTCTTGACAGTGGGCTTAAAATAGTAAGAGATGCTGTAACAGATGTGCTGCCATCAGGCTTCATTGTTCTATTTATTAAGCACAGGCAGAGGAGATTTAGCATAATTCTCAAGGGCCTTAAGACTTCCAGAATGGAAAATGAACACTGGCTTCAATTTAAAGTCACCAGTTGCAGTAACACCTAACAGGAGAGTCAGCCTGTCCTGTGAGGCTTTGAATTCTCCTTTCTGGCTATTAAAAGTCCTAGATGGGCCAGGTGCAGTGGCTCACGCCTATAATCCCAGCAATTTAGGAGGCCAAGGCAGGTGGATCACGAGGTCAAGAGATTGAGACCATCCTGGCCAAGATGGTGAAACTCCGTTTCTACTTAAAAAATACAAAAATTACCTGGACATAATGGCGTGTGCCTGTAGTCTCAGCTACTCAGGAGGCTGAGGCAGGAGAATTGCTTGAACCCAGGAGGCAGCGGTTGCAGTGAGCCGAGATTGCAACACTGCACTCCAGCCTGGCACCTGGCGACAGAGCAAGACTCTGTCTCAAAAAAAAAAAAAAAAAGTCCTAGATGGCATCTTCTTCCGTTAGAAGGCTGTTTCATCTGTACTGAAACTGTGTCATTAGTGTAGCCACGGTCATCAGTGATCTTAGCTGGATCTTCTGCAGAACTTGCTGCAGCTTCTCCATCAGCACTTGTCACTTCACCTTGCATTTTTAAGTTACAGAGATGGCTTCTTTTCTTAAACCTCTGGAACCATCCTCTGCTAGCTTCCAACCTTTCTTCTGCAAATTCCTCACCTTGCTCAGTCTTCACAGAACTGAAGAGAGCTTGGGCCTTGCTCTGGATTATGCTTTGTCTTAAGGGAATGGTTTGATCCTCTATCCAGACTACCCAAAGCTTCTCCACATCACTCTGGATTATGCTTTGTCTTAAGGGAATGGTTTGATCCTCTATCCAGACTACCCAAAGCTTCTCCACATCAGCAGTAAGGTTGTTTCCTTTTTTTTTTTTTTTTTTTTTTTTTTTTGAGACAGAGTCTAGCTCGTTTGCCTAGGCTGCAGTGCAGTGGAGCAATCTCAGCTCACTGCAACCTCCAGTTCCCAGGTTCAAGCAATTCTCCTGCCTCAGCCTCCCGAGTAGCTGGGACTACAGGCATGTACCACCATGCCCAGCTAATTTTGTATTTTTAGTAGAGATGGAGTTTGGCCATGTTGGCCAGGCTGGTCTCGAACTTCTGACCTCAAGCAATCAACTGGCCTCAGCCTCCCAAAGTGCTGGGATTACAGGTGTGAGCCACTAAGTCCGGCCTGTTTCACTTTCTTATCACTTGTGTATTCCCTGGAGTAGCACATTTAATTTTCTTCAGGAACTTTCACGACTTGGCTGTTTGGCATAAGAGGCCTAGCTTTTGGCCCATCATGGCTCCCGACATGCCTTCCTTACTAAGCTTAATCATTTCTAGCTTTTGATTTAAAGTGAGAGACATGCAACTCTTCCTTTTACTCACTGAGAAGCCACTGTAAGGTAATCAATTGGCTTAATTTCAATATTGTTGTATCTGAAAGAATAGAGAGGCCCAAAGAGAGGGAGAGAGATGGGGAAACAGTGGGTGGAGCAGTCAGAACACACTCAACACTTATTGATTAAGTTCACCATCTTACAGAGGTGGGCTTGATGGCATCCTAAAACAATTACAGTAGCAACATCAAAGATCATTGATCACAAATCACCATAAAAGATATAATATTTAAAAAGTTTGAACTATTAAAAGGATTATTAAAGTGTAATGCAAAGACAAGAAATGAGACATGCTGTTGGAAAAATGGTGCCAACAGAATTACTCAATGCAAGCCTGGGCAACACAGTGAGACCCCCAACTCTACTTTAAAAAAAAAAATTATCATGGTGGCACATGTCTCTAGTTCCAGCTACCTGACAGGCTGACGTGGGAGGATTGCTTGTGCCTGGGGGGTCAATAAGGTCAGTAAGTGTTGAGTATGTTCTGACTTTCCCCATATCCCTCCCTCTTTTGGGGCCTATTATTTCAGATACAACAACGTTGAAATTAGACCAATTAATTGCCCTACAATGGCTTCTAAGTATCTGAGTAAAAGGAAGAGTTACATGTCTCTCACTTTATTTTTTATTTTTTGAGATGAAGTCTCACTTTGTCACCCAGGCTGTAGTGCAGTGGCATGATCTTGGCTCTCTGCAAACCCCTACTTCCTGGGTTCAAGCGATTCTCGTGCCTGAGCCTCCCGAGTACCTGGGATTACAGGTGTGCACCACCACACTCAGCTAATTTTTCTGTTTTTAGTAGAGACAGGGTTTCACCATGTTGGCCAGGCTGGTCTCGAACTCCTGAGCTCAAGAGATCCGGCCGCCTCAAACTCCCAAAGTGCTGAAATTACAGGCATGAACCACCCAGCCTGGCCACATGTCTCTCACTTTAAATCAAAAGGCTGCAGTGTAGGAGGTCAAGGCTGCAGTGAGCTGTGATGGCACCACTGCCCTCTAACTTGGGAGGCAGAATGAGACCATGTCTCGGGGAAAAAAAAAAAAAGAATTGCTGGATGCAGGATTGCCACAAACCTTCAATTTGTAAAACACGCAATATCCTTTAAGTGCAATAAAGCAAAGGGTCTGCCTGAATAATGGACCTCCATCATCCAGCTTCAATAAATACTGAAGCCAATCTTACTTCATCTGTCCTCTCACCCACTGTCCCTCATTCCTGACTTGGAATGTTTTGTAGAAAATCCTAGACATCATATCATTTCATGCATAAAGACTTTAGTATGTATCTCTAATAGATACGGACTATTTTTATTTCTAAACATAATCACAATGCCCTTGTCACATTTTTAAATGATAGCAGTAATTCCTCAAAATTGTCACATAGCCAGTTCAGTTTCCCTGTTTCTTAACAGTTTTTTACAGTTTAGTGGTTCAATTCAGTATCCAAACATGATCCGTAAGCCCAAGGCATACATTTGCAATTTCTCCTTTTCCCTCACAATTCAACTCTCATTTCTAGTTTATTCAGCATGGATAACATTGCCATCACATGCAAAATGTTAAAACAGACACATCTAAGGAAGAATGAAAAGGAGAAGATTTTTTAAAATAACACAAAAATACTTAACTTTCTTATTCATGCCTGTTGCTCCAGTGGAAAGGAGACAGGCTTTTTATTCTCTCGATTTTTTCTGGTTGTTTTTTGGCTCACAGTCATCTGAACCTCCTGGGTATGTTAGAAAGCAAGGGGGAGGGGAATAAGGGACTCTTGCTTTGCCAAGAACACCATTCTGCCCACAGGCTGGAAGGGCAGAATCACGTGCAAAGAGTAGTTTCAGTTCCACACGGGGCAAGATGGAATTTCTTCCCTTTGAAAATGCTTGATCTCAGCTATCAGTTACTTTTTTTTTTTTTTTTTTTGAGACTCCCTGGCTGGAGTACAGTGGCGAGATCTCAGATCACTGCACCCTCTACCTCCCAGGTTCAAGCAATTTTCGTGCCTCAGCCTACCAAGTAGCTGGGACTACAGGCACCTGCCATCACACCTAGCTACTTTTTGTGTTTTTAGTAGAGACAGGGTTTCATCATGTTAACCAGGCTTTTCTCAAACTCCCGACCTCAAGTGATCCGCCTGCCTTGGCCTCTCAAAAAGTGCTGAGATTACAGCCATGAGCCACCGTACCCAGTCTAGCTATCAATTACTTTAAAAAGTCATGTAATATGACTGGTTATGGTGACTCATGCCGGTAATCCCTGTACTCTGGGAGGCCGAGGCAGATGGAATACTTGAGGCCAGGTGTTCAAGACCAGCTGGGCAGCATAGCAAGACTCCATCTCCACTAAATATGAAAAAAAAAAAAAAATGTTAGCTGGGCATGGTGATGAATGTCTGTAGTCCCAGCTATTCACGAGTCTAAGGTGAGAGAATCACCTGATTCACCTGATTCAGTTGAGGCTGCGGTGAGCCATAATGGCACCACTGCACTCCAGCCTGGGTGACAAGAGTGAGACTCTGTCTCAAAAAAAAAAAAAAAAAAAAAAAATCCATAATAGATCCATTCATGTGAAAAGCATCCTGATGTACTGAAATAACATTTGCATTTTATCAAAAGATTGGTAAGATAATACCTTAACTCAAAGAAATGAAACTCCCACTTTGGGAGGCCGAGGCGGGTGGATCACGAGGTCAAGAGATCGAGACCATCCTGGTCAACATGGTGAAACCCCATCTCTACTAAAAATACAAAAAATTAGCTGGGCATGGTGGTGCGTGCCTGTAATCCCAGCTACTCAGGAGGCTGAGGCAGGAGAATTGCCTGAACCCAGGAGGCGGAGGTTGCGGTGAGCCGACATCGCGCCATTGCACTCCAGCCTGGGTAACAAGAGCGAAACTCTGTCTCAAAAAAAAAAAAAAAAAAAAAAAAGAAACTCCCCTGCTAGAATCTTCCTCTATTCCTAAAAAACAGTTGGGTTACAAATTGTTTCTAGGCAACGAGTGGTTCTTTTACCCTATACACAGTCAAAGTCCTCATACATGGAATTAAACTATTTCTAAGATGTACAAAGCTAGAGGATCACAGTGCAGAAATTCCCCGAAGCTTCAGGGTTTTCCCCACTAGCCAACTTAGAGGTTAGGTTTCCATTCTTCCAGTTTGGATATCGCTCACCAATAAAACCTTGTGGTCCTTCTTGAGACCCCAACAAGATAAGCATGAGAAAATTCACTCTTATTCTTTCTAAAACATGAAAAAACTTTCCTTTGAAAGTTGATTAAACGGGGCCTGGATCTATTTTACTTTCTTTTTCTAGTCCACTAATTCACATTACCAGAATCACCTGTTCACCACACAGAGCAGAACCAGACCCTCCTCCATGTTGGCTAACAAACTAACCAAGGGACAGGGAGTCCATGCTGAGGTCTTGAGGAACAGCCACCAGGCACCCATGTGTGCCACCAGATGCCTGTGCTGGCAGAGGTTGGGCAGCTGGACTAGAAGGTGCAACCTCAGGGCTCAGGGCCAGAGATGGGCGGGGTATCAAATGCAGCAACTTCTCCTAGAACTGTCACAAGCCTCTTCTGGTCGCTGAAAACCAAGATGCTTTAGGATATAATGATTTCTCAAGCATTTTCTTCCTAATCAGCCATATCGGAGGGTAGAAGGCAAAAACCCACAAGAACCTTTGTTATCACTTCCCGTAAGTTAGGGACCATTTCTTAGTCTATGTAAGTCCCTGAGGCCTAGCGCTGGACGGACGTGGGGGACACAGAAATGTTCATATCATCAAGGAATGGTGATCACTTGAGGATCACAGCCGCCCGTTCTGAATGTGTTGTTTCTATACTCTGCCTTCCCAGCGGTGCCCTCCCCGCACATCTTACCTCAACAAGAGTCTCAGAAAGGATATCACAATGATGAGAGCGAGACCAATAAGGAACGCAATGCTTACAGCTAGAAAAAGAAAAGAAAACACGCCTCAAAGATGTCATCATGAACATCAAAGACATCATGTCATTACATTTCATCTATAAATGAAAACGAATGAGGGGAAGCCTAAATTCTCATGCTGAACTTCCTACAAATAATTGAGAATGCTCATCCTGAAGGGAGTCATTATAAAATATATATATATATATAACTGTCATTATAAAAAAAATCAAACATAAACAAAAGCATGAAGAATGGCATCATCAATCCGTATATAACCCATTACCCAGATCCTAGAATTATCAAGATATTGTCCCTGTTGCTTCATCCATAACTACCTACCCACCCCACATCTTCCTTTTTCTGGCTAAACTATTTCTATTTTTTTTTTTTTTTTTTTTGAGACGGAGTTTCGCTCTTGTTACCCAGGCTGGAGTGCAATGGCGCCATCTCGGCTCACCGCAACCTCCGCCTCCTGGGTTCAGGCAATTCTCCTGCCTCAGCCTCCTGAGTAGCTGGGATTACAGGCACGCGCCACCATGCCCAGCTAATTTTTTTGTATTTTTAGTAGAGACGGGGTTTCACCATGTTGACCAGGTTGGTCTCGATCTCTCGACCTTGTGATCCACCCGCCTCGGCCTCCCACAGTGCTGGGATTACAGGCTTGAGCCACCGCGCCCGGCCAACTATTTAAGAATCCAACATATCATGTTATTTCATTCTTACATACTTCAGGATGTTACTCTAAAGCAGGCGTCCCCAAACTGCGGCCCACGGGCCGCATGCGTCCCCCTGAGGCCATTTATCCGGCCCCCCGCCGCACTTCAGGAAGGGGCACCTCTTTCATTGGTGGTCAGTGAGAGGAGCACAGTATGTGGCGGCCCTCCAACGGTCTGAGGGACAGTGAACTGGCCCCCTGTGTAAAAAGTTTGGGGACACCTGCTCTAAAGCCCTTATAAAGACAGCCTGACATCATGCGCCTCCTGACACAAGGCACTCAGAAGGACCCAGCCTTGCTTCTGTTGTATTCTACTAAAAAATGTAAAACCTCCACCTGTTCATGAGAAAACACCAAGCATCAAGCAAATCCAAATCAAGGACAGTCAACAAAATAACCAGACATTACCCTTCAAACCGTCAAGATCATGAAAGACAAAGAAAGACTGAGGAAGTGTCCTAGACTGGAGGAGACGAAGGAGATCTGACAGCTAAATGCAGTGTGGGATCCTACATCAAAGCCAGCACTGCAGAAGAATACTAAAAGGGACATTTAGAGAAATTTAAATAACCCTGTAGATCAGTACCGCATCAATGTAAGTTCAATGTTAAGAGCAACGTTAAGTTCCTGGTTTTGGTAATTGTATGTGGGGTTAACTATACTACGATTTTACAGTTTAGGTTTAGGGGAAGCTAGGTGAAGGATCTTTGGGAACTCTTTTTGCAACACTTCTACAAATCTAAAACTATTTCAAAACTAAAAGTATCTTTGACTATTTCAAAACTAAAAGTATCTTTGAAATGGATGTTTTGCTATATAACCACAATGTCATATGAAATCAACAATAACTTCCTGGCTAACACTGAAAGTGCACCTGCTGTGGTTGACCCATGACTGGTGGATGTGTTCAGCTGGTAAAAATTCCCCTTCACCTCATGGTTTCTCCTACTTACGTGGTATATCCCTTAATCACTTACTGCATTAGGGGTTGCAACATATCTTGCCCTTTTGCTGTATTTATTACCTGAAATTCTTCTCCACAGAATTTTCCCTCAACGGGGACTATTTGGTTACCCTGAATTACAGTTAAAATGGGCAAAATAAATGCTTAAATCTCTCCTTTCAACTAACAACTTTAGATCGCCCTAGTTAACATCAGGTGTCCTGGCTACCTACAAAGACAAAGCATTGTTTGTGTTTTTGTTTGGGAAGGCAGGCCTTGCTCATTTATTTTCATATGACCTCATGGTTTTTACGCATTATTTTTCTTCAATAACATATACTATTCTGAATGCTTAAATTATCCTCCTCCATTGGCCCTTTCATACTGGCTCCTGTGTTCTTTTGATGTAACCTCACAGTCTTTAATAACTTCCCTGTGAACAGTACTTGCTCATGCCGCAGGGACTGGTTACTGCCTTTTGAAAGGCAGCACACAGTTACCTAATGGGAAACTCAGAATGGCAGTTTTTCTTCCTTGGGGTTACTGGACAATGAATGATCCCTCCTTTATCTATCTAAGAGGACCCCAGACTGTCAGGGGAAGACATACAGGAAATACAACACCCTTCCTCCTAAAACAAGGAGAGATATTTGACAGCCATTTACCCTCTTTCTAGTTTCTTTCTACTGTATTAACTTTTTTGGCTTATTAATGCTTCATAATTAAACTAAAAACTCTGAGAAATATTGATATATCATATAATATTTTTCTGAGACAAGGTCTGGCTCTGTCACCCAGGCTGGAGTTCAGTGGTACAATCTTGGCTCAGTGCAACTTCTGCCTCCCAGGTTCAAGCCACCCTCCCACCTCAGCCTCCCGACTAGTTAGGACTACAGGCATGCACCACCAGGCCTGGCTAATTTTTGTATTTTTTGTAGAGACAGGGTTTCACGATGTCACCCAGGCTCATCTCAAACTTGTGAACTCAAGTAATCTGCCTGCCTTGGCCTCCCAAAGTGCTGGGATTACATGCATGAGCCACCATGCCAGGCCAATATGTAATTTTTTAATATCACATAATTTTATTATATTCAAATAATAAGCATATTATAAATATACCATATTTATAATTGTACCATATTATAAATTGTAGGATAAATAACCTACAATTTATGTGAATTTTTTTTGTTGGCGGGGTGCTCATCAATGACCTAAGATTTAGGTTTTCAATTACAGGAAGTGTTACAGACTGCTCTGCTTTACAAACAGTACTCAAAAACTGAAACCTCTGAAAATGCAAATGTGAAAATCAACAGAGAACACATACGTACGAAGGTTACTGTCAACTGGATCCTTGTTCACAGCCAGGTCACAGGCAATTTCACTAACTCCATTATGGATGTACTTTACCAAGAGAGAATAGTTTCCAAATTCTCCAAATTTGTATTCCAACCTATAAACATTAGGTAAAATTAAGACAAATGGTTAATTAGGAAATAAGAAGTTGGATTTTGCTAATGTCATGAAGGCAGAATAATACATGTTCCTGGGTACAGACCAGAAAAGATAAAGAAAAATACTGTAAAGAGAAAAAAAGCTGGCCGGGCGTGGTGGCTCAAGCCCGTTATCCCAGCACTTTGGGAGGCCAAAGCAGGTAAATCATGAGGTCAGGAGATCGAGACCATCCTGGCTAACATGGTGAAACCCCGTCTCTACTAAAAATACAAAAAACTAGCTGAGTGTGGTGGCATGCACCTGTAGACCCAGCTACTCGGGAGGCTGAGGCAGGAGAATTGCTTGAACCCGGGAGGCATGGGTTGCAGTGAGCCAAGATCGTGCCACTGCACTCCAGCCTGGGCAAGAGTGAGATTCTGTCTCAAAAAAAAAAAAAAAAAGAGAGAGAGAGAGAGGAAAAGCTAAAACCAAAATAGAAAAAGAGAAAATGCAGACTTCACTCAGATCATATCATAGCAGGCACAAACCTACAAACTTCTTTCTCTTCCAAGGTGTTGTTCAGCTGTAGAATGGATCCGTGCTGGGTGCTGACAGGGGTGGCTGCAATGCTAGGCTTCCCCGCTTTTGGACTCTGAGGAATGTTTACCAGAACCTGAAACAAGCACTGTAAATAAAAGCACAATAGGTCAACTGCCATGGGTTTTTGAACATCTGTTGATTGTTGGAGGACATAAATGTCCAACTGGAGATCCTGACATGATTTTTCCTTCATATGTATAAAAAAAAAACCCTAAATTTCAGTAATTTTAAATTTACCTATTATTGTATATTTTAACAATGACTGGGACAGGTACAGTGGCTCAGGTCTGTAATCCGAACACTTTGGGAGGCCGAAGCGGGCAGATCACCTGAGGTCAGGAGATCGAGACCATCCTGGCCAACATGGTGAAATCCTGTCTCTACTAAAAAATACAACAATTAGCTGGGTGTGGTGGCACATGTCTGTAATAACAGCTACTCAGGAGGCTGAGGCAGGAGAATCATTTGAACCAAGGAGTCAGAGGTTGCAGTGAGGCAAGATCATTCCACTGCACTCTAGCCTGGTGACCACAAAAAAAAAAAAAAAAAAAGACTGTGTCACTATGAAATTGTAAAATCTTCATACGTAAACTTCACAAGTAAGTAGTGCATACATTAATCTTGCATTCTGTTGTTTTATTTAATATTATTAACAAGTAAGTTTCCATGATTTTATCTAATTTGCATATTTGTAACTTAATATTTGTATTACAGTCCATCAGATTGAGTATTTAGGCTGGTTTCAAAGCTTTTTTAATCTATTTGTTATTTTTGCTATATGAATTATGTGTTTTAAAAGACCTATACATGCGATTCTTATTCATTTTTATTTTGTTTTTGTTTTTGAGATGGGGTCTCATTCTGTCATCCATGTTGGAGTGCAGTGGCGTGATCTCAGCTCACTGCAACTTTCACCTCCCAGCTTCAAGCAATTCTCTCACCTCAGCTTTCCAAGTAGCTGGGACCACAGGCACGCATCACTATACCCAGCTAGTTTTTTTGTATTTTTTTGGTAGAGACAGGGTTTTGCCATGTTGCCCAGGCTGGTCTCAAACTCCTGAACTCAGGAAATGCACTGCCTCAGCCTCCCAAAGTGCTGGGATTACGGACATGAGCCACCATGCCTGGGCAAGGTTCTTATTCTTTTCAATTCTTTCTCTAAGGTAAAATTTTAAGGGTAAGATTACTGGATTTAAAAAATAGTCATTTTAATAGCTCCTGTCACAAATGACCAAATATTAAATAAGTAAAACTAAAGCAATATATTTATTTCTCACCAGTAACAGGATTTTAAACTCATTTTTTTGTTCAGTTACTAGATATTTATATCACAGAATTAAGATTATATTTCTAAATAATCATAATTAAATAATTCATCAGTTTTGTTATTTTGTTTCCTATGGTGTGAACTACTGTTTACAAACCAAGTTCCCTTTATATAATCTTAGAAATATGTCCTCATATACTATAATATTACACTTTTAACTCTCTCAAATATTTCTCCTTTCTAGTGCTTTCTTTTTCATTCTGTTATATTGTGTTTTTAATTATAAGTTTAAAATTTTTTATACAGCCATAATAATCTGACTTGTTATTTCTTCTATTGCTTCATTAATTCAAAAATGTATTCTGCTGATATAGAGTGGTTGAATGGATTAAAACAAGATCCAACCATATGCTACCTAGAAGAGACTCCTTTCAATTGTAAGAATACACAGACTCAAAGAAAAGGGGTGGAAAAAGGTATTCTATGCAAATGGAAACCAAAACTGTAGCTGTACTAATAGAAAATATATAGTCTTTAAGCCAAAAACTGTAAAAAGAGAAAAAGAAGGCCATTATATAAAAGGCCATATAAAATGATCAATACAGCAGAAAGATGCAACAGTTATAAATATATATGCACACAACATTGAAACAAATAAATATATAAAGCAATTATTAATAGACCTAAAGGGAGCAAACAAGTCTGAACAAATTTTAAAAATCAAAATCATATCAATTATATTGTTTGACCACAATGGAATAAAACTAAAAATCACTAAAAAGATGAACTTCGGAAACTGTAATACTTGCTGTATTAGGCTTATCCATGTTGCACGTTGCCACCAATGAGAGGATTTTATTCTTTTTTATGGCTGAATAGTATTCCACTGTGAACACACAGCACATTTTCTTTGTCCATTCATTGACTGATGGATAGTTAAGTTGATTCCGTATCTTGGCTTTTATGAATAGTGCTGTAATTAGGAATCTTCCTAAAAATTAAAATAGAACTACCATATGATCCAACAATCCCACCACCAGGTATAGATCTAAAAGAAAGAAAGAAAGAAAAAAAGGCCAGGCTTGGTGGCTCACCCCTGTAATCCAAGCACTTTGGAGGCCAAGGCGGGCAGATCACCTGAGGTCGGGAGTTCAAGACTAGCCTGACCAACATGGTGAAACCCCATCTTTAAAAAAAAAAAAAAAAGAAGAAAAAGAAATACTTTTACTCCCATGTTTACGGCAATTACAGCAACCTGGATAAGCCTAATGGACATTATGTCCAATGAAATAACCCCAACACAGAAAAACAAATACCACATGATCTCACTCATATGTAAATGCTAAAAATGTGACCTCATAGAAGTAGAGAGTAAATAGTGGTTAGTAGGCAGGATGGGGGGAGGTTGGTCAACAGGTAAAGTCAGTTAGAATAGAGGAATCAGTTCTGGTGATGTATGGCACACTAGGGTGACTATAGTTAACAATAATGTAATGTATGTTGCAAAATAGATGAAGAGATGATTCTGAACCATCTCACCCCAAAGAAATGACAAGTGTTTTGGCGAAAGAAATGTTAATTATCCTAACTTGATCATTACCCAATGTGTTATTTGGCTGGGCACGGTGGCTGTAATCCCAACACTTTGGGAGGCCAAGGCAGGCAGATCACTTGAGCTCAGCTCAGTTCAAGATACAGTACCCCATTAATATGTACAATCATTGTGTCAATTTAAAACAAAATACAACTTTTTAAAAATGTATTCTGCCTTTTAAAATATTTTTCAGGGGGCCGGGCGCGGTGGCTCATTTTCAGCCAGACTGGTGGTTCATGCCTGTAATTCTAGCACTTTGAGAGGCTGAGGTAGGAGAATCACTTGAGGCCAGGAGTTCCAACCAGTCTGAGCAACATAGCAAGACCCTGTCTCCATAAAATATTTTAAAATTAAAAATCAGCTCGGTGTTGTCATAAAAGAATTTAAAAAAAAAAGGGGCCAGGCGCGGTGGCTCAAGCCTGTAATCCCAGCACTTTGGGAGGCCGAGGCGGGTGGATCACGAGGTCGAGAGATCGAGACCAACCTGGTCAACATGGTGAAACCCCGTCTCTACTAAAAATACAAAAAATCAGCTGGGCATGGTGGTGCGTGCCTATAATCCCAGCTACTCAGGAGGCTGAGGCAGGAGAATTGCCTGAACCCAGGAGGCGGAGGTTGCGGTGAGCCGAGATCGCGCCATTGCACTCCAGCCTGGGTAACAAGAGCGAAACTCCGTCTCAAAAAAAAAAAAAAAAAAAAAAAAATATTTTTCAGGGCCGGGTGCAGCAGCTCATGCTTGTAATCGCAGCACTTTGTAAGGCCGAGATGGGTGGATCAAGAGGTCAGGAGACAAAGACCATCCTTGCTAACATGGTGAAACTCCATCTCTACTAAAAACACAAAAAATAATAATAAATTAGCCGGGTGTGGTAGAGGGGCCTGTAATCCCAGCTACTGGGGAGGATGAAGCAGGAGAATTGCTTGAACCCATTTGTGGGTTGATTTTTTAACTTGAATCCTCTTGGAGTATTTGGTACATGGCATACAGTAATTTTAAATACCTTTCGCCATGGTCTTAGTTATAACACTCTAGGTTCATGCACAAATTAGATTTTACTTCTTACATTTACATTGGTCTGTTAGTCTTCATTTCTCTTTTTTTGGCTATATAAACTATTATGGCCTCACATTATATCTTATCTAATACAGTAAGTCTCCACATTGTCCAATCTCCTTTGGGGCCATTATTTTTTGTTTTCTTTTTTTTTAAGCTAGTCAAGCATGGTTGTGAGACAGACAATGTTAAATCTGCTTAACAATGACCCACAATACTCACACCAACTTGGGCCATCTTTTGATCCTCTTACTCATTCACTTTTTTAAGTGAATTTTGAAATTATTCATGCAGGCTATCAAAAGGATTCCATTGACATATTAACAGCAATCATTTTGAGTATATGAATTAATTTGGGAAGCACTGTCATTTTTCCTGTTTAATCTTGATATCAATGCTTATTGGCTATCTCTCCATGTAACTTATCTTTTTCTCATTAAAATGTATCATTTTCAGCCAGACTGGTGGTTCATGCCTGTAATTCTAGCACTTTGAGAGGCTGAGGTAGGAGAATCACTTGAGGCCAGGAGTTCCAACCAGTCTGAGCAACATAGCAAGACCCTGTCTCCATAAAATATTTTAAAATTAAAAATCAGCTCGGTGTTGTCATAAAAGAATTTAAAAAAAAAAGGGGCCAGGCGCGGTGGCTCAAGCCTGTAATCCCAGCACTGTGGGAGGCCGAGGCGGGTGGATCACGAGGTCGAGAGATCGAGACCAACCTGGTCAACATGGTGAAACCCCGTCTCTACTAAAAATACAAAAAATCAGCTGGGCATGGTGGTGCGTGCCTATAATCCCAGCTACTCAGGAGGCTGAGGCAGGAGAATTGCCTGAACCCAGGAGGTGGAGGTTGCGGTGAGCCGAGATCGCGCCATTGCACTCCAGCCTGGGTAACAAGAGCGAAACTCCGTCTCAAAAAAAAAAAAAAAAAAAAAAAAAAGTTGGGTGTCATGGTCCATGCCTATAGTCCTAGCTTCTTGGAAGGCTGAAGCAAGATTTTTTAAGCCCAAAAGTTTGAGGCTGCAGCAAGTCATGATCACACACCACTGCACTCCAACCTGGGCAACAGAGCAAAACCCTGACTCAAAAATTAAAAAATCATTTCTCAGTGTGTTCCTACTTCGATTCTGCTTTCATTTTCGAGTTGACATTTTATTAATTTTATTGCTT